TGTACTTAAATTAAGGAGCTCTCAGATTCGCACACTACCACTCAATGCGTCCTTCACAGGTCATCAATTGCACATGAGGAGAATCCAGATAGGGGAAATGTCCAAATTGGGTTCACTGATTGAACTGGTTAAGCATACCATTAGGCCCGATTCATTATATTTTCTATATGTGCTGTTACTTTCAGTTTAAAAAAATCCTAGCATCATCCCGGTCTACTCTGTGACCCTCTTTGTAGACATGTTGAGCTAATTTTGATTTTCCTAGTAGACCCTGTTGGAGATGGTGCCTGTGTTCATGGAGCTTCATGGATAGAGGTCTGCCTGTTTTGCCAATGTAGCTTCTGCTTCACACCACCAGGATAGAGTGTTACTGGTCACTTCTGCATGCAAGTTTTGCAGAGGTTGCACAATGTGGTTCAGAGGAAGCAGTGTGAGAAGGGGCAGGGACAGTGGTTTTTGCATCACAATAACACACTGAGCCACACATTGCTTGTGCAGCAATTCCTCACTGAGAAAAACATTCCTGTCATCACCCAACCACTGTACTCTCCCGGTCTCGCTTGGAGTGACTTTTGGTTGTTCCCTACTTTGAAAATGGGGCTCAAGGGGACACGTTTCACCACCATGCAGGACATCAAATTGAAGGCACTGGCTGAACTCCGGATGATTCCAAAAGAAGCCTTCTGCCAGTGCTTCCAACAATGGCAGGATTGATGTAGAAAGTGTGTGTGCGCGTGTGCGTGCGTGCATGCTACCATTACAGTGCATCACCACCATTCCAGGAACTTTTTGACCGCCCCTTATATAATCCAAAACAATTCACTCCGCCTTTGAACAGACATTGCAGATTAGAAGCAGTGAACCAAAAAACAGTACTGCACTATTACAGTTAAGAGAAGTTGCCTTCTTATTTCGCATGTAAGTACAGAAATGGCAAAAGAGAAGTTCCCTCAGTGAATTATAGTACAGGCCCAGGAAAGTGACTGGATGACTGAAGATGTAGTTTGCTAGATTAAATCTGTATTGTTTTGATGACCAGGTGCACTGTGTTGAGACGATGGAAGCAGTATAAATAAATAATAATGTCAGTTCAATTTACCAGTTTAATCACAGTAATATAGAGAATATAGAGAAAATAGAGAAGATCACAAAGAACGAGACAGGGTAATGTCCCTTTTTATCACAAGAAAGTTGAACACACAAACTCTCAGATAGCGTCAGACTCTCACTGCTATCACTAATTCACCACGCCCTTCTTTGTGGAAGACTGGTGGAACAAGAGAATGGAAAAGAGCGCCCTCTACACAATATGGAGATATAAGGTGCCAACATTCCAACTATAACTAGATCAATACAAAAGTGATTTTTGATTGTTATTAATACTGTCACGTATCGGGCATATAACGCGACAAATAACTTCACGCCGTATTTGATATAGCGAATTTTATTCCACATTCGCACTTACAATCACCCAAATTACAGATTTACAATTACTGCTATCTGCAGTATCACAATTAGTACACTCCAAATGCCACAATACAACTGACAAGTTGCTGGCTAACTCGGAACTAACTCGGAGGTAGCTCGAGGACTGACTCGGAGGTAGCTTGAGGACTAACTGTGAATAGCCTTCGCTGCTCCTCATGTAGCCTCGATCGGACAATACAGAAAACGGCCACGTAATAAGCACCCTTGTTGCCTGGCGCAGTGTTGATAGCAACGCTAGCGGTAGTAACCGCTGTTACTACCGTTGTCTCTCGCAATCCTGTTGCGTCACCGTTACGTTACCGTGCAGAGGAGGGGGAGGGGAGCGCTGACTCACCCGCCGCGTCACTGCTGGTGGTGGGGGGGGGGTTCTCCTTTGCGCAACATGTCACACTGCTCCCTCCTTC